CCCGGCACGGAGCACCGCAGGCGGCCGCAGCCCCGCGCCGGTCGTTAGAAAGGCCTTTATTGGACATCATCGCAAACCGTCGGCGCGTGGACCCGTCGGGGCCGTACAAACAAACGGGGCTTCCTTTCCTTTGGGGTCGGGAAGCGACGGAAGCGCCGAAATAAAAGGACAGAGAGCGGAGCGACGAGCGGCTCCTCCGCGGCTCCGCGCCGCCTGAGCTCCGCGGGGCGGTCCGGGGTGCGCAGCGCCTGCGGGCTGCGGTGCTCCGCGGGGGTGGGGGGGGGGACACGGACAGAACGGGGGGCGTGGATGGGCACGGAGCTGGGGCACAGACTGAGCCGGGGACGGGGACGGACGTGGGGGCGCGGACAGACCCACGGCCACGGACAGACCCGGGGATGGAGCCGGGGACGTGGGTGGACCCAAAGGGCGCAGACGGAGCCGGGGACGCGGGTGGACCCAAAAGGTGCAGACGGACCCGGGGACGCGGACGGACCCGGGGACGCGGATGGACCCAAAGAGCACAGACGGACCCGGGGACGCGGATGGACCCGGAGACAGACGGACCCGGGGACAAGACAGACCCTCGGACGCGGATGGACCCAAAGAGCGCAGACGGAGCCGGGGACGCGGCCGGAGCCGCGGAGCGGGAACGAAACGGGGACCGGAGCCGCCGCACAGCCCCGCACAGCCCCGCACAGCCCCGCCGCGCCCCCCGGAGCCGCTCCGTCCCCTCCGCCCCACGGAACGCGGCCGCGGTTCCCCCCGCCCCGCGCCGCTCCGCCCGCCCCGTCACGGGGTTCGGAGCCGCCCGCGGCGCCCGGACGTTCCGTGTTCCGGAGCGGAGGCGCCGCTCGCGGAGCCGCGACGCGCCCGGGGCCGCCGGGCGGACGGCCGGGGGATCGGACGGCGGCGGGCGGAGCGTCAGAACGTCCACCGCTCCCGGCTCTGGCTGTCGCCGCCGGAGCCGCCGCCCGGCGCGGGGCCGTGGGAGTGCCGCGACGAGTCCTCGCCGCTCAGGCTCTTCCTGCACACCGGGCACGTGTCGTGCTGCGGGGGGAG